TATTGTCATTCTTGTCTTTAGTTCTATTTATGTCGTGAATTATATTTATTGATTTGTGAATATTGAACCAACTTTGTGAGCTGAAACCAAATTGATTGTGGTGTATTACCTTCTTAATATGTTTTGAATAGTTTGCTAATATTTTATTAAGAATGTTTACATCTATATTCATTGGATACATTGGTCTGAAGTTTTCTTACCTTCATGTATCTTTTTCTGGATCTGGTAACAGAGTGAAACATTTTAATTTGACAGAATCTAAATGATTTTGGTTTCCTTCCTTTTCTAGTTTGTGGAATAATTTGAGGAGTATTGGCATTAATTCTTCTTTAACTGTCTGATAGAACACTGCTGACAATCCATCTAGGGCTTTTATTTGGTGGAAGGCTTCTAATTGTTGCTTCTATTTCATTGCTTGATATTGATCTGTTTAAGTTCTCTATATCCTCATGATTGAGTTTGGGTAGGTTGTATGTGTCTAGAAATTTGTCAATACCATCAGAATTTTCTAGTTTTTTAATTAAAGTATAAATTTCCAACATAGTTTCTCATGATCCTCTGGTTTTCAGAAGTGTCTTTGGTTACATCTCCTTTTTTATCTCTAAGTTTGTTGCTTTGAGTCTTCTCTCACTTATTTGGCTAATGGTTTATCAATCTTACCTTTTCAAAGGACCAGCACCTCATTTCATTGATTCTTTTTTTATTTTATCCTTAATTTCACCAATTTTAGTTTGATTTTAATTATTTTCTGTCTTCTACTGATTTTGGAACAGTTCTTTTTCTAGTTCCTTGAGGTATTAGATTACTTATTTGGTATCTTTCTGTTTTTTTTTTTTTTTTTTTTTTTTTTTTTTTTTCATGTATGAACTCAGTGCTACAAACCTTTCTCTTAGAACTACCTTCATACTATCCCACAGATTTTTATATGTTGTATTTCTATTCTCACTTGTTTCTAAGAATTTCTTTTTATTTATCCCCTCGTTTTTTTCTGCAATCCATTCCCCATTCAACAGTGTATTACTTAATCTCCAAACTAATTTTATTCTATTGTCCTCTAATACAATGTGAGAAATTATTTTTTGTACTTAATAAGACTTCCTTTGTGCTATAAGATATGATTTATGTTAGAGAAAGTTCCATGTGTTACTGAGAAGAAATTGAATTCAGTTGTCAATAAATGAAATATTCTACAGATGCCTGTTAGGTCTACTTGGTTAATAGCATTCTTTAATTCTGAAAAACTTTTATTTAGTTTATGCCTGGATGATCTATCCAGTGGTAAGAAAGGTATGATGAAATGAGCCAATATTATTGTGTTATGGTCTACTTGATTCTTTATATTGATTTGGGCTTGTTTTATGTATATAGATTCACTGTTGTTTGAGACATAAATATTTGCAGTCCTTATACCTTGCTGTTGAATGATTCCCCTAACCAGTATGAACTGACATTCTTTGTCTCTTCTGATTAATTTTGACTTGAAATGTATTTTGTCTGGTAAGAGAGTAGCTAACCCTGCTTGCTTTCAGTTTCCATTTTCATGGTATATTTTTTTCTATCCTTTCACCTTCAAGGTGAGTCTCTTGTAAAGCACATATGGTTCAATATTGTTTTTTTTTTTTAGTACAATCTGCCAATGCATGTCTTTATTGATAGAACTTGGGTCATTTACATTCAATATTACTATATAGTGATGATTTTTATATCCTGATATTTTGAATTATTTCTAATGCTTAATTTAGACTTGATTATCCTTTAGTTTACTATTCCTCTAATGAAATTCCTCCCTATGCTAGTTTTAATTTTACTTTTTCATTTGCTCTGCATGAAATATTTTATTGAGTATGTGAATGTTTTTAGTTTTTTTTATCATGGAAGGATTTTGAAAGGTAGTTTTGTAGAATATGGTAATTTTGGCTGGCACCCTTTTTCTTTCAGAGATTGGTATAATTTCAAATCCTACTGGCTTTTAGGATCTGAATTGAGAAATCTGTCAAAATCCATATTGGCTTACTTCTAAATCTGACCTGCTATTTTTCCCTTATGACTTTTAAAATTACTCTTTTTCTGTATAATAAGCATTTTCATTAAAATGTGTCCTGGAGAGGATCTTTTTTGATTTTGCCTACATGAGATTCTATAGGTCCGTTAAATTTGATTCCATTATGTTCCTAAGGTTTGGAAATTTTTCTAATATTGTTTTATTGAAAAGATTGTGTATTCTTTTAATTTATATTCTTTAGTCTTTATCTACACAAATGATTCTTATATTTGGTCTTTTGATGCTACCCCAGATTTCTTGAATATTCTTGTCATGGTCTCTTGACATGTTTTCTTTATAATTGACTTTATTTTCAACATTATATACTTTGTAGTCAAGGTCTGATAATCTATAGTCCTAGTGGTCTAATCTATTGGTGATGCTTTCCACTGAATTTTTAATTTAATTTATTAAGTTTTACATTTCCAGGAATTCTGTTTAGTTCTTTTTTAGAATCTCTCTTTACTGAAATCATCTTTCACTTCTTATATTTTCTAAGTTCATTCCCTACATCTTCTTTTAGCTCATGAGCATTTTAACTACAAGCTTTCTGATCTTTCCTCAACATTTCTTTCACTATTGTGTCAGCTAGATCAGTTGTTGAAGTGTTGTGGGCTGTTCCATGTGGTTTGTTCCTTTGCTCTCTCATACTGCTTTTATGTCTACTCTTCTGTTGGGACAATTATCATTGTTTTGCTTTATATAAATGCATTTACTTTTATGCAAGGGACTATTTAATGAGTTTCTTTCTCTTCAGATCCTGGGGTGGGTGAATACTGAGTTATTGATACTTTCACTCAATGCATGTCCTGTGATGTTACCAGTATTAACACAACTTTTAAAAAGACATTAAATTCTATTTACTATAATAACTTCAGGGAAAATTCACATGCTAATCAACTACAGAAAATACTAAGACTTAATCATAATGTTCTCCACAGCTTCTCTAATCCAGACATACATTTTTAATTTTACTTACAGTAATATAGTAGTGTTCTAGAATGGTTTGAGGAAATAGTTATTAAAGCTAGTAAAATCACTATTATTTTATGGAGAGGCAGGAAAAGGAAGAAGAAAAAATTGGGTAGAAGGGTAAAAAAGGAAAGAAATGATAGGAAATAATAATACAGACCAGATTCAAAAAGAAAGAAAGAAAGAAAAAATGGATGGAGGGGTTAGGACAGTAGTATGTAATGTAAGAAAGAGAAGAGATGCTAAACGGAGCAATTGTAAACCTGATCTAGGAAAACAAATATAGAGTGGTAGGATAATTCAGCTAATGTTTTAAAACATTAGAAGAAATACAATCAGATGGATTGAGGGCATGATATCAAATACTATAGGAACAACTATCAAATCAAAATGAAGAGTAATGGGTTTAAGATCAGAATTGATGTTAGAGCTGTTTCTGGCATTCCATGCCCAAGTGGATAAATTTTTATTCCTGGTTTGGATTTAATCAGGATTTGGGACTTCAGAAGATGCTCATCACTTTTCTGCTTTGAATTCTTCTAAAGATGCTGGGGAACAGGAGCTAATTCCCTTATTGCTGAGGATTGTTCACCAGCTGGTTCTTATTCATCTGCCCAGGGACCTGAGGCTGCATGCTCAAGGGGTGCCTTGTTACATCTGCGAGGTTCTTCCTACTGGATGCAACCACAGGATGCAGGATTCAGGGCTCTCTCTCTCTCTCTCTCTCTCTCTCTCTCTCTCTCTCTCTCTCTC